AAGGCCGAGAAGGCCACTACAGACGAGGAGGCTACTTAATAGTGGTTATAACCCTCTCTCAACTCTACAACTCCGAAATACGAACCTTGACGAACAAGGCCGCTGCGCAGAGAAACAAGTTGAGCGCGGTATTATCAGGGACGTGGTGGGGATCGAACTCGGAACCTCTCGCTTATGAATCGAGTGTTTTTACCACTACACCACTACCGCATTGAAGCGAGTGTTTTTACCACTACACCACTACCGCATAAGATATACCGCAAAAGGTATAAAAAAACCTTTTTAAAAAATAAATACTCAATTTAAATGATTTTATATATGCTTTTTGTTCACATTATTTATAAATTGTACAAAAAAAAAAAAAAAGATTTAAAAAAAGTATGGATAACACATATCAGACTCAGCAAACTTGAAATTAGTTTAAATATAAACATTTATATTTCCTATTGAAAATAATTTTTATTAAGTTGTCTTTGGTTAAACAGTAGTAAATTCCTGTTTTTGTCATTAGTAAATGCAAATGATATGGACATCTGGAGTCCAGCATTGGCTATCCACAAATGGCCATTTAAACAACCGTGCAGAACCATTTGGACAAATAAATTTGAAAAGCACATCTTTTTCTTTTGAATTAATGTCTTCAATGACTACTATCCACCACTTTTGCTTATAGGAAACACAAGCATAATCACCTGGTACTAAATTTACAGTTGTTACATGGATGTTTCCAAAGTCATGATTAAATTCAAAATCTTCATCAACACTGCATAGCTTTGCGCCTATCTAGACAAAATAGCAACATATGCTTTTATTCCATTTTTCTTATTTTGTTAAACATTTTTTATTAAAGTCATTAAAAGAAGTAAGTCCAAAATAAAACAAAAATATTTTTGAAGATGATTCCACACAAATAAAAAATTTATTTGAGTTTATAAATAAAAATTATGCATGTTTTTTAAATATAATACAAGGTATATTAAACATATTTTTTTTTTATTACTTTTTGATAGCCAAGTGGTACAAACTGATAGTAACTATGCATTCCAGGTATGGTATTTGCAAGTGGTAGAAATTGATGGTAACTATGTGTTATAGGTATGGTATTTGCAGCATCCAATCATTCCTAAAGATTGCTTCTCACCAAAGTTAAATCTTCTGATAATATATAAATTAAAAGTACATCTTAAATATTTTCATTCCAATAATTGTACATTGCTTGTGGAGATAAAATATGATTACCTATGTCTATTTGCAAGCTTGCTAGTGTTGCCAAACATTTGGCTGTACTACCTATCCCATCACAAAGTTGCTTACCATGACTAGTTGCAAAAAAGTTCCAATTAGCAGAAAGACCAAAATCTTTAGGACAGAAAAAAAGATTTAAAATTTTTTTGCAATTCTTACATTGACCTGCAAACCCATCTGAAAAGTATTTTTTATTTGAGGTAAATTAGTTTTATTATCATTACTGACAACATCAATAATTTTATACACCATGTTCACATCATGCATCATACTTTCTGAAACAATACAATAAGATTTGTGCTTGAGAAAACCTTCTTTTTTGAAATAAAAAATTACAGGAAGCAGTGTACATTGTAAATTTGTCCAATGAAAGCTTTGTACTTCATCCTGAACTACAAATTTAAAGTTTTCTGAAAAATCACCAGAAATAATGCTGTGACATTCATACCTTTTTTTCTTGATCTCAGATATGATGCTTGACTCTTAGCTAAATACGAGTGTGGTGCAAACTTTGTCAGTTTTTTATATACTAGTTCAATGTATTTAAACACTCTTTATTATGTGTTAAGTTTGATCTATCTGTTGTTGTCCACTGATCAAATTCTAGTTCATCGTCATTTTCAAACTCTACAATTAAATTATAAAATTTTTAATCAATTTATTTTTAGGTTCATGATTTTGAAGGCAACAAACAATTCCTTTAAATTACATAAGAGCAATAGTTTTTGCATGTGAACATATTTCTTTATGCTTACATAGTCCTTTTTACCAGGCATTATTTGGCTATATTTAGGATTAGGCATGGCTAAAACAAATTCTAATGCTAACTTACATAGAGCTACATAGTTTGTAACATACGTTTAAGCTACATAGTTTGTAACATACGTTTCAGAAAACTTTTTTATTGACCAGTCAGTTGTCAGTTAAATTTTTTTAGATGTTAATTTTTTTAGATTAGTTATTTTATTACAACACCATCATGTTATCAAACAAGTTTGCTTTTTCAATATACTTATTACTGATACTTGACTGTTCTTCAAAACTTTTCTGATATATTAAGGGAAGTGGCTACTTTTTTTAAATAGAGGTTGTTAATGCTTTAATAGAGCTTGTTAATGCTGTCAATTTTCGTTTAGTTTCTCTGATTTTACATGACTTATGCAATAGGAAATACTCCAGCAGTTCTAAAGTGTGTATTTAAACCTTTTTTATTTTGAATGGATGTTTTACTAACAATATCAAAATCTTCATAATTTTTATTTTCTATCATACTTTTTAATGAATATTTCATAACTTTACTAAGACAGGTTGGACACAACTTTTTTCCAGATATATGATTTAAACCTACGGTTTCTGCTTCTAACACAGTATGCATTGTAATCACACATACTGCAATCACACTGGTGCTAAAAAGAAAATATAACTTAAATACTATAACATTAATTTAACTATTCTTATCAATTAATGAACAAATCATTACAAATAACTTATAAACAACTTATTAAGAATGGTATTAGCCATTAAAATGTAAATATATGAACTTTTACCTCTACACACTTTTTTGTGAGTCACTAAAGCAACTTTTCTGATTACTGTCATAGCTCACTATTAACATATCATGATGGTGTGTGCATACACAAGTAATTTGTTCTTCCTTCAAGTTTGTTTGTTTTACAAGCAATTTATAATCATTCCTGTCAATATCTTCAATCAGATTTCTTACTTGGGTATATGATTGTTTATAACATAATCTTTTATGAAAGGGCAGTTGATTTAGTTATACATTTAAAACTATAATGAGGAATTATAATCTAAACACTTAAATACAAGCAATCTTAAATACAATATTCCTAATGAGCAAAGTGCACTTGAACACAAACAATATGTTTAAATAAAAATATAGTTATATTTATAAAGAACATATTTCTTGAACAAATAGCTATTAGTTTTAATTGACATATTTTAAATGCCTAATTATCTACTAGTTTTTTCAATTCTCTACTAATTATCTAATTATAGTTATAATTATAGTTAGTTATGTAACTTAACAGGGAAATTTTGGATATTATGTATATTTGTCGTTTTATTACTTATTTTATTGATGAGATAATCGCCATTTTATTACAATAAAACAATCAATAAAAAAAGATTACATAATATTGTTTAATCTAATGACATAACTATTATGTAATTAAAATAACAATGCAAATGACATAATTGTTATGTTATGAAAATATCAAGCAACAAATTTATAAATTAAAAAAATATTATAAAAAAATATATTAATAAATATTATATAAATAACAATATTTTGTGACAACTTTGTAAAAATTTAAATCACATGACATACATACTGTTTTTTTTTTAAATTAACGGACTCAAAATTAGATTAAAAACAAATTTAATTGTATTTAGTTCAATATCAAAATGAATTCGCTTAATTGTTTTTTTATTTAATTTTTTCAGAAAAATTGAAAAACCAAAACATGAATAACTCCTCAGCAAAACATAAGGCCAAAATTAAATTGGTTCTTAAAGTAGATATATGTCTAATTTTTAAGAAAATTAAAACCAAAGGTTTTTTCTGTCAACCAGATTTTTTCTTTAGCTTAAGTGGACATTGCTCTTTCTTATTTGTGCCAAATTTCAGCGAATTTGGTGATGTAGTGTGCAATCCCTTGATTTTTACTCATAGAAAAGCAATATTAATTTAAAAACTGAAAAAACAAAGCAGAAAAAACCAAACCAAAAACTAGGGGTGCACCAATGCCTACTTTTGGCTGATGCAGATGCTGATTGGTATAAGCCGATACTGATGCATCAGGTCTAAATTTGAATTTGTACTTTTTCTTTTTTATGAATAGGCAATATATAATTTTATTCAAATATAATGTTAACAATCTAATAGACAAATATATATATATATATATATATATATACATATATATATATATATATATATATATATATATATATATATATATATATATATATATATATATATATATATATATATATATATATATATATATATATATAACGATAAAATATCAATTTTAGGTTGTTTTTTTTTTAAAAAATTATTTTAAAAACCAGCAATTTTTTTTTTTTTTCTTTACTATTTGATAGACTGCCAGCCCTAACAAAACCCTAAGTCAATGTAGCAACACTCTGTTGCAAGTCAGGCTATAAGATAGTCATTGTAGCAACACTTCGTTGCGAGTCAGGCTATAAGGTAGTCGATGTAGCAACACTCTGCGCATGTTTTACAGTAAAAAAATAAAAATAAAAATGCTCGGTAGTTAGTTAATTTGCAATTTTGTGGATTTTTAAAATTTAATTATTTCCCGCAATTAAAGTAATGCGTTTTGTTATAATCTAACCTTAATTTTGTCAGTTGAAACACCACAGACAAGCTAAGAGTTGTTTTTTACCACAAACCATATATCTAAGCCCTTAACTATAAGTGTATATATATATATATATATATATATATATATATATATATATATATATATATATATATATATATATATATATATATATATATATATATATATAAAGAAATCGATTGAATAAATAAAAATTAACATAGTTAAAATTGAAATAAAATATGCTTTTAACTTCTTAAATATAGAATTAAATCTTTTGAAGTTTTGTTGAAACAATAAACATAATATAATAGGGAAAAGCAATATACATATAGAGAAACTATCGACATAAAAAAATATGGAAAAATAAAAGTTTGAACTTACGGATCAGAAGTTTCTTTCTTCGTATCAACAGCAGCTAAGCTAATTGCTTTGAATATATGAACTTCAAATTTTGCATCTTTGTCATCGTACTTCATCCCAAATTGAATTTCACCACGAATCGGAATTTGTCCATATATATTAGCACTGTCAGTACTATATACACTTGTCAAACTTGTTTCACTTGCCTAAAGTAAAAATATCAACTTTATTTTAAGCTTTTAAGAAAAATTACTTTACTTCTTGTCAAAAAATGGCATAAAAAATTGGCCTGATGAGTCAACAAATAAATTATCATATAAAAAATTATGTTCTTTTTGAGAAAAAATACAATTATAATTAACATTAATACAAGTCTCTAATTTTAAAGCATAAAAAATCAAATCTTTATCAAACTTATTTAACTTTATTTTGTTTGAATGCAAAGTTAATTTTAATGCAAATAATTCTTTAAGATAAATAGATGAATTTTACATTATTTATTTATTATTATTATTTATACATTTTTTATGTATTAATATTATATTTTTTAGATTACATATTAAAATTAAAATCATTATTAGAAAAATTGCTTGGTTACATATTGTAACTATTGATAATATTTCATATGCAATCAATTATTCCATGCTTTAACAAAAACTGTAGGTGGTATTGTTGGTCATTCTGAATAAATAAAAAATATTTTAGAAAAAAACAAACTAATTGATATTTTTTAATATATTTATGTTTCCTACAATAAGTTTTAAGAATCATATTTGCATAAACTTTAAAGATTCAGAGATATTTGGTAGTTTATGAGTACTGAACATAGCAAAATTATATTTATCGCACATTTATATTTTCATAATTTTTTCTATACTTATTTAAATGATAAAAAGATTTTCAAGGTAAGGCATCTTTTGATCAATTATATCAACCAATAGCCACACAGCACATTAAATATGACTAGAAGTTTTTTTAACTAAAAAAAGGAACTTTCAGAAAGGGATAAAAGATCAAGAAGAAAAGGTTGGAAGGTAAGGACCAAGAAAAGTCAGGAAATAAAAAAGAAGAAACAGCAGCTTATTGAAAATTTGTCTACACCACTTGAAAGTTCAACTATAAATATTCCTATCGACAATGAACAAGGCATCTATGTACTTCCTGGTTCCAGTCAGGAATCTAGTTCTAGAAAAAAAAACGGGCTAAAAATTTGTAGAAATTATAGAGATGGATTAAAGGAAAAAGTCCAAAAATTAGAAAAAAAGATTTGTTAAAGCAAAGAAGTGATAAATACAAACAAAAATTCTACAGACTGCTATATGCAAAAGACAATACTCCTCAAAGCTGGTTTAAAAAATGACCAGTGGTACAAAATGCTCGAAGGAAGTACAGAAAAGCTTGCTTTTTAGTGAAGTGTTAAAGACACAAATACAATCAAATTTTTCTAATAAGAGTTGCACTGACATAAAAAAAAAAAGGATTTTGCCAGGGTATTAAGTGGAAAGGTAATAAAGAAGTACAGACTTCAAAGAAGTCTCAACAACCTTACTTCTAGATATATCTTACCATACAACTTGAATCAGTCCTCAAATGTACTAAAACAAAAAAAACTTGAAATGGAAGTTGGGAACTTTTTAGAAAAAGATAGTTCTAGTAGGCTTACTGCTAGGAAAAAAGAAACAACAACAAGAAACAAAGTGAAAAAACAGAAAAGACTATTAAATGATACAATCTTGAAATTGTGGAATGAGTTTAAACAAACAACTGAGTTGTCAAAGTCTTATAGCACATTTTGCAAATTGAGACCTTTTTGGGTTGTTCAACCAGACTTCCATAAACAAGATACTTGTCTTTGTATTGACCATGAGAATTTTGCTTTGATTCTTGAAAAGTTGTATAGTTTAAAGATATTGGCATATATCCTCCTGACTTGCTAAAAAGTATAACATGTGACAGCAAGCTGAGAGAATCATTCCTGGAAAGGAAATGTGGAGTATGTCATTTATATAAAAAATAGTTTGTAAAGAATATGAGAATGAAATGAATGAAAAAGTAACATTTTCACAATGGTCTAAAAAAAGTGTTGAATTGGCGATAAAAGGTAAAATGAAGACATGTTTTAAAACTGAAAAGAAGAGTTAACATTAACTAAAAAAGAGCTGTTTTTGCATTTTATTAATAACATAATGGAAAATTTACAAGGTATGTATACAATATAAAACACCAGTACAAAGCTACATTAAAAATAAAAAATAAATTAGGAATATTTTCATTCATTGAGATTTTTCAGAAAATTACAATTGCAAATACTCAAAAGAAATCCTAACACTCCATTTTGGTGGATCAAGAAACCAAGTGTCAATCCATACAGCTGTGGTGCACTATTGTAGTAATTCTGAAAACCAAATAAAGGCAAAATCTTGCTGTACATTTTTAGATAACAACACTTTGTTGGGATCAGTGTGAATTTAAAGCCTGTTATTAATGACTTGAAAGAAAAGCTGCCTACCATTGAAACAGTTCATTTCCTTAGATATAGTACTTCTCAACAGTACTGAAACAAGTCCATGTTTTATTTGGTAGGTACTTTTTTTCAAAAAGAGTTTAGAGCTAAAACCAAGAGGTGGCATTTTACAGAAAAAGGTGCCCCTGATGGAATAGGAGGTTGTATCAAAAGAACCACAGACAGATTAATAGGAGAAGGGAAAGATATTCCTGATATTAATTGTTTGGTCGAAGAAATAAAAGAAAAGTATCCAAGTATAACCATCCATACTATTAACAACAGATCTCTGTGAGAAATGTGTACCTGAAAACCTAACCACTTTCAAGGAGACTTTACAAGTTCATGAGGTGTTTTGGAGTTCCACTAAAAAAAAAACATTGCATATGAGAAGTGCTGACAAGCACTGAATGTGAAAATGGTACAAAGTGTAATCACTATAGTATTAGAGAAGAACTAATCCCTGTGGAATTTTTGACAGATCTTCATTCTTGTATCCTTTTAATGTATAGCGCTTAGAGTTGCAAATAAAACCGTTTTTTTTTTAATTGTGTTTTTTTTGCAAAAAAAACATGTTTTTTGTGTGTTTTTTGTGTTTTTTATGGGTTTTTTTGTTTTTTAGATTAAAAAAAAAATTATTTACTTTTATTTAATTTTTATTTTTATTATAAATGTAATATAATATATATTAATAACATGATATATGGTAAATATATAGTACATCATTTAAAAGATTTATTTTTAATTAATAACAGATTCTGTATTCTGGCTTTCTTGTTCATTAAGGTCTTCTATTGCCTGGCATATTTTTCTTTAGATTTCTTTTTTTTTTTTTAATTAAAAATAATTAATAGATTACAAATTGTTTAATATAAATGTTTTTTTATTAGACAAAGTTAATCATTGTGTTATTTTTATTTACTTGAATATTGTTTGAATAAATAAAATTTTAGCTATCTAATTGCAATTTAAAATAAAATGAAGAAATTAAATATTAAAAATTTAAAAAAGTAATATACAAAAGTAAATAAAACATTAAAGTAAATTTTATTTAACAGTTGGTTCATTTTTGTATTTTGTAATGCAGTGTTATTTCATTCATTTTTATGAATGAAATAACATTTTATTTTCCTTCATTCAAATAACATTTTTATTTCCTTCATTCAGTAGTATTATACTTACAATCAACTAGTAGCTAATAGTATAGTTTTTTTGAGATTTATTTAAAAAATTACTTTTTTAAATATTTAATACTGTTTTTTTTTAATATTGGTGATTAGTTTGTAACAGCTATTATATAAGTTAATATGCATTTTATTAAATAGAAAACATTTGTATTTTGTAGGTTTAAGGGCACTGGAACTGTTTCAAGTATTATTATTATCTAAAATTTAATGAATACTAAAAAAAAGCAAAAAAAACTATAAAAAACATGTTTTTAGAACCAGTCTGTTTTTTTTGCAAAAAAAACGTGTTTTTTTTTTTAAAAAAACACGCCGTTTTTTTTGGGGTTGCAACTCTAATAGCGCTTAGAAATTTAAGTTTGCTTCTTTTGAATATTGCAAACTTTTGCGTTTCTTATGTTCTCTAGTTATTTATCAGTAAGAATGTTTGATTAATATTTAGTTTTTCAGAGAACCTAGTAATTTCATTAAATATTAAAATAAGTTGTGCATGAAATCTTTCTTGTAAAATAATTATTCAATTTGTTTCTGTTTTATAAATAAACTTTTTTTTGCCTCTGTTTTAAGAAATTCCTTAACATACTTTAGCAGGTCAACGGTTCTTGAAAATGAAGAAAACACCAGCTGAAGAAACAACATCCAAATGTTTGGCTTAAGAATCCTAAGGCCTGGGTAAATGTGAAAAGAAGTTGACAAGACTAAGTTACTACAGTGTTTACAGTGATAGTGAGAAGGACAGCTTGTCTATTAAAATCAATGATTTTATGATTGTCAAGTTTCAAATATAAAAAAAAAGGTGTGAAATACTGTTGTAAAAAATGTTGGGTTAATTAAAGCCTTTGGTGCAGATGAAAATAAGTTTGTCATTAAATTTTTGAGAAAATCTGGCCAGGAATTTTTTACGTTTCCTGAGAAAGATGACATCTCTGTCATCAATAAGAGCAATGTAGTGTTTAAATTGTGCCAGCCAAACCTCAACAACAGGGGGCAATACAGTTATCCACAAGACTTAACATTCAAAAACTTTTGCTAATTTAAAATTTTGTAAAACTTGTACCATGTACTATTTTATGTCAGCTATTAAAAACTATTGATTAAAGATGATTATTATTTGTAATTTAATGTAAATTACCTGACAGACACCTATAATGTATGTAATGTAAATTACCTGACAGACACATGTAGCTGTTACAGCATAAAGCGATACTATTCTTAATGTCATGTCTGTGGTAAATTTGTCACGACTGTGGATTACGCTGAAAGTTGAAATTTTTTTTTTGTAAATTGACATTTAATGAGTTGTGCGGATACTTACAAATGATTAAGTATACTCAAAGCTATAACAGCAAAAAATTTTGGAAAATTTAATATTTAAACTTTATAAAATTAACTATTGACAATGTTACTTTTCAGGAGAATGACTCTTATGCTATTAATATTGATAATAAACTTCTCTTATTTATTACATTAAATATCTTTATTCAATTTAACAAATTTTTTATTGTGATGCAATAAATTTATTGTATTTATTGTATATTTATGTGATGCAATAAATTTATTGTATTCCATAATAATAATACTGGTAAAAAGCAGTATCAGTGATACAAAAAAGTTAAGTAAAATCTTTTTATGTCAGTGAGTATTTTTTAAATAAACTTATGTTTGTTAATCATAAAATAACTAAGAAAATAGTAAAAAATAATGAAAAGATAATAAACAAGTTTTTAGATAAAAGAACAGTAGAAAGATAATAAAATTCAAAGTGATGATAGTTAAAAAAAAAATCTTAAAAGTCTTGAATGCACTAAAACATATGTAAATTGTTTACATCATCAAGAATCATCAAGCCAGTAAAACACCTGTGTAATTATAACTAAAAAAAAAAATTTTCTTACTAACAAATAATTTGTTTAAACAAAAAGTCTTTGCAAAAATCTTTTTTTGCAAACATTGCAATATTTATTCTCTAATACGTTGATGTAGAACAAAATGTGTTCTGAAACAACATAAATGTGATTTTAAAATTACATTTATGTTGTTTTTTTGAAATTTCAGTAATAAATTCTGAAATATCAGTAAAATACTATTAAATTATCAATAAAAAAAAATACTGATAATTTATTTAAAGTATCATAAATAAGGCATAATAACATAAATATTATTTATGTTATTATGCCTTA